TGGTAAATCTGCGTTCAAATATTCTCGTTACAATGATTGACTACTATAACTATCTGCCAGTAGCTACAGAAATTGTTAGTAATTTTTTTCAAGATTGTGATGAAAGTGTTAAACCAAGCATATTGGATACAAAGAAAGATTAAAAGCGAAATCAGAATTGAAACTCAAAAAATAATAACTATATGTAACCAATAGTTCAGTATAGGAATCCTATGGAGTTTGAATGTCTTTTATAATTCAGTATTTGAGGGATTTAGGAATGAAATTTTAATATAGATGGGGACTGTTGGGTTAAAAATACCAAGTCAAAACATTCCACTGATTAATTGAAATGCTACCAACAGCCCACCAAGATAATATAGAATACCATTTGGAATCAAGTGAAGCTGGAATATTTTTCTTTAAATGCTCAACCACTTTGGGCGTGCAATTTAAACAAAGAAAGACAGGAATAAATTAATAATCAAACAATTCTGTTGAAGGAGTTTTGTGGAGATTTAGTAATTTTCATAGTTGAAAGTGTGAGTCAATTGAAGCTAGACCACCATGGAAAACCTGGAAACATTGTGAGGTCCTGAGTTCGAATCTCGTGAGTGCGGGTTCGTCGATGCTCACTGCTGAGGAGTCCCATAATAGGACGAAACGACCGTCCAGTGCTTCCAGGTTTTCCATGGTAGTCTAGCTTCAATTGACTCACGCTTTCAACTATGAAAAATTCTGTTGAAGATTATCTATACACACCAACGAATAATACTTTCATCATTTAAAAAAATAATTATTCAGAAAATGCATATCAAAAGTTTAGACTAAATTGTTTTTATCCATTGTTCTCTCTTAATGATAACACCACTTACTATAAATCTAAGCTACTTATTCTTTTAATTTATATTTTTAATACCTGATTTCTCCAATGTACAGCCAAAAGTAATTATCTCTTGGGTATACCAAGTTGGCAATATATTCCAAGTCCGTTGGAAATGTTAGTGATTGAATTCCGATTTGATTATTGAATAGCACAGAAGTGCTTGTGGAAAAAGAGACATTCCAATCAATGTTAAATCTAAGTTTTTCAGTGCAACACGGTTTCTATGTTGAGAATTACATTCTAATAAACGGAATACATGCATTAAGACATTAGTTAGGAAGATTGGTTCAATGAAGAGTTCGGTTTTCTGTGAATTCAGTTTCAAAGCTGTACAATCGCAAATACATATACTTATTTTTTTCAAGATAATAATAATAATAATAATAATAATAATAATAATGATAATAAACTTCTGATAGACATGGTGACAGTCAGGTAGAATAAACAAAGGTATTAAAAAGTTTCAAAACAGGAAACTAATAACCGTTTGATTGCTAATGGTTTAAATGTTCATCAAAACACAGATAGGGAAATTATCATTGGGAAAGGATCGCTCAGCATGATAAGATAACATGTTGAAATGAAGATAAAATGTAATCAGGAGGATCATAAAAACAGAAAAAACCAGTTGGAGGAGGTATAAGGTTTAAGGAGAAGATGGAAGTGGAAGCAGATGGATATAAAGGGAGAAAAGTATGAAGAAAATCATCAGACATTGAGACCACGGTAGAAGAGGTTGTACCAATCCCTTTGGAGCACACAATTCTGGTTTTCCCAGATGTATGGTTATTGCTTAGGCAATGCTAAGAAGGTGCAGTATAATTGCCCTTGGAAGACTGAACGCAGAATCCGTCCTGATTGATTGAACTGCACTCAAAGACATGTTCGTCGATTGATTGGTCATTTTCCATTCTTTTAAGAACTTCAATCAGTTGCTTTCCTATTATTTCGGTCTTGTTTTTCTCATTTCTTGGATTGAGTGCATAAAACCAACAGGATGAATAATACCGCGATTATACGGTTTGCCTAAAAGACACAAACGTGGCCTACCTCGCAGACCAATTCTTGATATGTCCTGATCCGCTTATCACTCTATAGCAAAGTGTCTGGTAGATGTCCTAGAACCCGTAAGATAACACATTTGTAAACACTCCGTTCATAATACTTCTGAATTACTCGAACACATAAAAGAAGTAAATGTAAATGACAAAATTATGCTATCTCTGGATGTCGAATCACTATTTACTAATGTTCCACTCACATAGACCATCAGTTGTATCTGAGGTTAACACCAGAAGTTTATTTGAAGGAACTACTACTAATACGTTGCATTTGCATTGTACAGTTTACGTTGGACGACGTAATTCACAGACAAAAGGATGGCATACCAATGGGATCCCCTCTTAGTCCTTTACTAGCAGATTGCTTCATGGCCAGTCTAGCAAACAACCAACTAAAAACGACTGTAGAAAACTGTCACTTGTATAAAAAGTACGTAGATGGAATCTTTATCATTTGTGATAACAAATATGATTTTATTCATCCTCTAAAGACAATAACAGTCACCTAGCAATAAATTTCACACTTAAAATTGAAAACAAGCGAAATATTCAATTTCTTGATGTGGAAATGACAAGAAAACAAGACGGAACTCTCAGATCTATCCACAGGAAACTCATATGGAATGGCCAACTATCAATTTCCACAACTGGGTCCTCATTAGTCGAGAGACAAACTTAATAATATCACTCGCTATGTGAATACAAAGAATTTGTAGTCCCAAAGTCATAGATAATTAACTGGCACTCTTGAAGGAAGTACTTATCAAAATCAGATATACTTCGATATTAATTTGTAAGAACATAAAATCCAAAACCGCCGAGAACGCAAATAACTTCAGTCGAAAAGAAAACATTATACATGAAAATCAACTTTGAGGATGACAGAACAACATACGTCTGATTCTTTGAAAAGAACGCTCTTCGCTGCAAAGTTGCGAATAGCATTTTCCAGACAATCATTGTTCATCAATAGTCTTAAGGATAAATTATCTCATCTGGCCAACTCAATGCGCATTTACCTGCTCATGTACAGACAGGTATACAGGTCGCTCGATGCGTATTTTACCCAGAAGAATTCAAGAACATTATTCAGCGGGGTTAAGAAGATGAGGAAACTGCTCAATAAGAAGTTCAATAATCGAACACCTTGTGAACACAGGTCACTCAATCAAGACGGATTCTGCGTTCAAAGTCATCCACAACGTAGATAAAAGTCTTCCAAAGGCAATTAAATTGCATCTTCTTAGCATTGCCTAAGCAATAACCATACATAAAAATATAGTAATATGAAGTAAGAAATCCTTTATTACTGAGAAAGTACAGACTACCATTACTCTTGACTGATATAGACTGTAGATATTAGGATATCAACAATAGTGCTACCAAAAACTAAACAGATGTGTCCGACTTCTTAATCGTAAAATGTACAGTTTATTTAACGAAACACACAAACATTGGTACAATGGGGCGCCACACAATAACAATTAGGCAAGTAGCAGTTAGTTTGGTTTGTGTGACGGCTGTGATGCTATCCGGGCGCCCAAACCGAAACGGGATATTTTCTTAGAGGCCCACATCCCGAGCCTTTGACCTAGAGGTCTAATCCACGTTATTTGTTCCTTCAAAATCCTAGAGTCCTTGTGCATCATTGGTTTGGAATCAGGGTTTTCCAACTCCCCGTGTCCACCAACACGGTTAAAACTCTGGACATTCGCTTTCCGTGCTCTCAATTTTGTAAACAACAGTAATGCCGCGAGAAGGCAGTGAGTAGGACCTCCTAGGCAGTGGTTGTATGTACCTGTCCATGTGAGAGCATTTGGAGAGGGAGAGCTGACTCTCTCCACCGTACCAAGACATTTGGGGTTGGAAAAATGTACAGAAAGATAAGTTAAAATCCATAATTGGTGAGAAACCAAGTAATTTATTAATTATTTAGTATAAGTAAGAAAGTTTCGGTAAGTAGTTTAGTTATACAAATGACTTAAGCTTAAAACTTGAGGCATTAAATTACGGTTTTGTGATAGAACACTCAGAGACGTGCCATGTACTCATTATATAACTGCAGATCGACTAATACAAATTTATATATTATGAAAACAACCAATAATATAATACACACAGTTGATATTATGAAGAATAGCAGTGAAATCAACAGTGATGACAAAACAACAAAAACTTAAATCTACTAGAAAAACAATGCCTGTCAGAGTTACTAGCAGTTATAGTAGAAACACGGGGATATAAACACACGAAGACAAACAAATTAATAGCATATACTAAGACGAACAAAACAAAATTCTCAAATAATCCACAAATTGAATCTTGTCAAGGGGTAAATAAGTAGGGACTTCAATAAGTCATACACGTACTACCATATTGGAAAGAATTAAACAACTGTTTGATCTGAGGGAGAAGCTTAAATATGTGTAGTAACAAGTTTCTTTTAAAAGAAAACATGACAAAATAAAAAGGCCTAAAAACAGCTTTCATTGTAGGTAATAGTCAAGTGAGGTTACATGAATACGAAAAATTCTCTGTTCTATTTACTGGTATATATTAATGTATGTACAGTAAAATTTCATTCCTAATAACAATCTTTCGACTATTCCGTAGTATAATATATATGAGAAGTGCTTGTTTACACTAGACAATAATAATTAACAGAATATACTTATTTTCTCTGATTTAGCCATTGAAAATAAAATAAACAACGGTAGGGAGATAAATAAGAAAAATAATAGTCAAACAATATGGTGTATATTGAGTGATTTGCGAAAGTCATAATTATAAAAAGAAATGAAAAGAAAAAAATCTATGAATGCTTGGGTCATTATCTATCATGTGATCACAAATGAAGTAACAAGTTAATACGATAAAAACAAATCTATAGAGAATGAAATAGGAGTAACAACAAAATCATTTGATATGAACACAGTAAAAAAATGAGTATAAACAACACACACACACACATACATGAAGGTAGATTTACATGATAAATGATGAAATGGAAACAATATCTAACACTAAAGAGAACATAAAAAAGGAAACCGCGAGAAACAAAAACAAAAGAGACTATCTGGTTTCCTGACAATCAAAGCAATTCGTCTAAGTAAATGATTTAATTGGATTAGGGTCTTGGTGGTGGTGGTATTGGTGGAGCTGGTACTGTTGATTGAATATTAGTTAGATCAGTATTACCTTGATAGGAATCGATTGTTTCATTATCGAAATCATCTTTTAGGTTACGCTAAAATAGTACAATAATAACAGTATGTAATAATATGTGAAATATATAGGATAACTTTATCAATATTGTTTAAAAGTAAATGAAGATAGTTAAATTAATATTAATCAGATGAAAAGTAAATTCCTGTAAAAGAAAACAAACGAATCAAGAACAAAACAGTTTGTCAATTAATAAAAAACCATCGTTTATTATTCTTTTTTAAAAATCAATTATTTATTTATTTATTTAAACACATAGATATTGGTACAAAGGGGCACCATATGCACAAGCGCCACACAATTTTTTGCGACTGTTAACTTTATAAAATAAAATAGCATTATATTTACAAATTTAAAATCAATTGATTGTCTTCAACCTTTTCATTTTATCATCCACTTGACTGATTAGATCAAAACATCGAGCTTTGCTTCGTAAACTGTAGCAGTATAACTCCCGTGTGTCATTTTATGGCTTCTGCCTTTGTCAATTATCAGGTGACAAAACCTCCCATCAAATTAAACTCAGCGTTGTCACATCTGTCGGTCTGGGTATCTTTTTGATAGCACTGATATCGTTTGGATCTGGCCGACGACCATCTTCATCAAATATATATCCAAGCTATCTAACAGACTCGAACAGGAATTCTTTTTTGTAACTAAAAACCAGCTTGCCGTATTTTATTAAGCACAACGTCCAACCGACTCATTAGTTCCGGAGAATTGGAACCAACAACTATAATGTCATCCAAATAAACTGTTAAACCTTTCAGAATAAATATCACTGTGTCCACTATTTGCTGGAAAATTGCTGGTGCTGCTTTACACCGAACAGTAATAGGTTAAAGTAATAGTTCACGATGAGAATTAATGGTTAGATTATCTCGTCGAAATTTGTTTCGTCTTCGCACACGAAGATCACTAGTTCTGCTTCGTGTTCGTACGTAGAGGTTGTCAATTCTCGTCCGTGTTCGTTCGGCGAGGCATCCAATTCTGTGGTACCGTGCTTCGTTCACTTCGATAACCGTTATAATTCTAATCTTAACGGCACGTAAAATCAGAAGACAAAGGAAAGTAGCAACTACAGTTTATTGTCAAATAACTCAGGCCAGAAAGCTAACAGCATCTGAGCGAATATCAACTAGCGAGCGAGTGAACAGGCGAACGAGTAGCAAACAAATTACATAGGCAATTTATAGTCAAATTTAATAAGGGCACAGCAAAGTAAAACAAAGGCTGATAATAATATTTATATATATGGTGAGGAGTATGAGTCATCGAATGATACTTAAGCAGTCAACATTTTGGTTAGTGTCATGCGCTCTAGTGGTATAACAGTGCAAATAATATGCAAATTGTTATTATCCAAATGACGATGTCTGTTAAGTAAGTTAATAAAAAGGGCTTAACCAAAGTTCACCATAATCGAAATTGATTGTAGGATGGTTGCTATAGCGTCTTCCATCGTTATAGTTACCTTAGCTATGTAAACAATGGGCAGATCTCTAGGATCATTCGAGGAATTCAGCGTACAGATTTCGCTCAATGGTGCATCCCATAGATTTAGTTTGTCTATCCAATCTATGACAACAGGGTCCAAATCATGGCTGCTCGTTAAATAACAATTTCCTGTGAAGTAGTTATCTCGGAATTCAACAGAGCACTTTATTATTCTAACAAGCTCTAATATATCTCCGGATGCATTCCGAGCTGTGTTCAGTTGGCAATACTTGTGAACAGTCAATCAAATTCCATGTCCTTTTAAATATTAACGTGATATCTTATGCTATATCCAGTTGTAATCGAATATGAACACTGTTAACCAATAATTCCAAATACCGTCTTTTATCCCCTATACTTAATGCCATTATAGCATAAATGCTGTTTATATACTTATTTTGATATTGGTGGAAACGCTACGTCAGCTTGGATCTCAGACTTTTTCTGGTTCAGCAGACTCTTTCTTTATAACATATAATGATGCATCTATGATTTCCAAACCGCCACATTTTTGAGGAATAACACTTACCACAATACCAACATTTAGTTTAAGGTATAAAAATATTCGAGTGATATTGTAGGAGACCCAGAAGATTCCTTGGAGAACAGCCTAAAGGGGCCCTGAAAACGCTGTAAAACATTTTATCTAATCAGCGTTGAATAGAAGTTTCTCGGAAACACCTAAGAAATGAAAAGTTACGCGTCAGACATCTGATTGGATGATTACTTATCCTTCTATGTTAAGTAGGGTTCCAGAACTTCCCAGAAGCCTAAGGCCATCCGAAATCCTGTAAATACCCGCGATTTTCTATACAAAAAATAACCTTGGAGTATAGCATTCTTTCTACATTTCGCACCTTTTCTCTCATGTTCAATTAGCCGTGTAGAATTAGCCTGGGGGTTACTAGAAGAGCCTAGGAAACCGAATCAAGTGTTCAATTAGATTTATCAGATAGTTACTACTTTTGGTACTATTTCGTCTTCGACTTGTCTTAATATCATGAACAGAATGCTTAAATGGCACTTTACTTTTGATTACCAGCATAGCTGTATCCTGTTTTAGGTTTACTAATCGCTAGCACTCTGTAGTAACAGTTTGCAGCGTCATGTTCCATATAGGATAACAACCGCATACGAAAGTCAGCATCGATGGTAGAGTTAGATGAATGATGAATGATAAGCATTTAAAGAGATCACCGGATAATATATTTAGTTTAAATCGTTCTGCTTATAATGTTACTATACCGGAGTAAGTATTGTAGTCCTAGTCAGCTTATTTTGACAACTATAAACAATCAAACCAGCTACGAAATAATGATATTTCTTCAGAAAAAAGTTTATTAAAAATGTCGACAGTTTCATGGAAACTGACTTCTCGTGGATGTTTAGGCAGGATATGATTTCTATAGATTTGATGCTCATTGGGACCAAGCTTCTGTAACAGCAACCGGACTTTCTTTGAGTCGTCCATAACAGAAAATATTACTCGCAAAATATCTTCTATTCCGTAGAACCATGCTTCAAAAGTATGACCACTATCTGCATCAAAAATAAATTTTGGGATTGAACTGAGATATGACTCTAAACCTTAATGTTTCTGGAATAATTGGTTGAATAGAAAGTCTCTCTACGACTGCTTCCAGAAGTTTCTGTTGAGGAGCTAACATCTGCTGCTGTAATAGTGACTGCAATTGTTCGGAATAGTGTCAGTCGTTTTTCTTTTCATTGCTACCATTATTTTCTTTCCTTTTTAACCCCAAAAATCCGTCTCAAATTGTTTGACTTCTACCCCTATCAATTATCACGTGACAAAATCGGCAGTCAGAATACCGACTTTTATGACCTTGTTTTTGTACTAAACCAATAGCACAGTATAGTTTTTAGAAAGATTATTTTACTAATCTAAAGTAACCAAAATCCTCTATTATAACGTTATCGCAGTTGTAAGCAGTGCCCAGATCAACGCGAATTTTAAAAGGACTAAAAGATGCTCATTTATTCACCGTTACGAGAACGATTCCAGAAATATCAGTTTAAAAGGAAAAAGCGTTGACATCATTATAATCATAAGACAACTGATAAACAGAGGAAATCAGTTAACGTAGTCCTCAGATGTGCATCACAGAGAACAAAAGAAACAAATCAAACCTCTTTTTTTATCACCGAACGTGTTTTAGTTTCTCGTTACCGATGATTTCGAAGTGACGAACTCCACCTAAGTAATATGATAAAAATCCACTTCTTTTCAATTTACCAATTTGAAATAAATGAGTTGTTTTTTTCGCACATGGTTGACTTTATTCGGAATATTTAATAAATTGGCTACATCCTCTTTCTCTTTCATTTTTACAAAAATGTCATCTTGCAAAGAGACGAATACTGATACGAGGCAAGCAGAGTCTTAATACAAACATCAATACCTGCCTAGATAGAAGTATGTGTCTAAAGGATCCTACTTAAACCTGAAAGCGTGAATCACACTACATTATCAATATACAATTCAACATGCGATTATTTTATTATTATTTATTTATTATATTATTAAATTCTAATCCTGGAAGAACTTACTTGTTGAGTGTATTTTTGATAATTCGGATGAAAATTATGAATCGCATCACTGAACATATCCTTAGGATTAAATGTATCGCGCAGACTACGTAGAGAATCAGAAGATGGTAGAAATCCACCTGAAATGGTAAGAATTGAACCAGAAATTATTAAGGATACCGATGATAATGGTTACTGATGACAGGCAAATTTATAAATAAAACTTTTGTTCTGTAACGATTCCACCTTGGGAAATAAAGTTCAAAAGGATAGATACTTGATCAACTCAAGTTTTAGACAATCACGTTAGAGTGCGTTGATCGGTACATTCCCAACCAATTAATATGAGAATACTCTCGAATATTCCTACGTAAAGTCTATACATACACTGGCATTTCGAAAATTGGTCATTCTGATTTTACGTTCTGTCCAAGTCGTGTTTTAATTTGAGAACCAGCCATGTGTCCGAGAATACTAGCCAATAGAATACTAGGTCGGAGTATGAGACTTAATAGCATAGAATATAGGAAAGAAAAGTACGGAACAATATACCGGGTACTCCTTATTTTGAAGCACACCAACAATGTTGAGCTTTAAATGTTCTTTAGTCGAACCATAAATACATTGTATGTTGTGGTCAAATAAACCAGCGTGACATTTAAATTTCAGATAACCAACTACCGACTAATATTAGAAAATATTAGTAAATGACTGTTTCGTTCTAGTCTGCGACTCGGCAGCAGGACGCAATGGCAGTCACACCCGAGACCGGGCCCATGACCTTCAGTTCATGCTCCGAGAACAATACCATTAAACCATTGAGTCGACACTCAACGGTCCATATTTTAAAATTCAACGAAATGTGATATATTTAAACACACTATCTGTTGACAACTGCCTCATTCTCGATTAGGTTAACTTCGCAAGTCATGGGTTTTTTTTATACATTATTAGTTTTAATAGCTTGATCATTTTAAAGAACAATCACTCGAACTACAATTATAATAACCTAGAAACTTTACTACACAATTAACCTACGCTTCTTGGATTCAAGAGAAACTTCACCACCAACTCCACCAAGACTATCATAGCCACTATTTGATGGTCCAGTTCCGACTCCATCAATATACAGTTGTGAGGGAAAAGCGAAGCGTAAAGCAACGGAGGCGATTAACATTTCTAAGCATATCAGGAAATTTTGTATGCCTGCTGCAACTGTACCGGCGTTTGTATTCGGCAAAGCGGGAAGAACTTCAGTCTTTTCTAGAATAGCTAATATAATACCTTTGATCAAAGTGAATAATGATAAACAAACAGTCATTCGGATAAGTGATTTTTGAAAAAAAAATATATAAACAGACACGATAATATGAAGGTAAAGAATCATTATATTAAATAAAAGCGTTACCAAGACAAAAAACACAAAACCTTTTATTCTGAGGATAAACTATACATGGGGTAAAATATAGTTGCACGGATTTGGAAACTATTCGAATATTTAATTTCTGGTTGACGGAGTATTGGCTAGTTTCAAGAATGTTTCTTATCAAACATTGAGACCCACTGAAGAGTTAAGGTGAATTACAAGGTGCCAGATATATATCGTTATCGAAACGCTAATAAAGTACCGAATAATATTCTTTTCGAAAGATTCTATTCAGCATCTACAGATAGATATCCAAGTTATAATCCAAAAAGTATTCAATCTAAGAACAAAATACGTCGCTTAAAATTATAACATGGGAATCTAAGTTTGTAAAATAAAATAAAATTATCAGAAAGAGTTTTCTTGAGATTTTAGTGATTTTTTATAGTTGAATTCATGAGTTGATTGAATTTAGACCACTATGGAAAACTTGGAAGCACTGGACTGCCGTTTCGTTCTATTGTGGGACTCCTCAGCAGTGCGCATCCACGATCCCACCTCGCGAGATTCCAACCCAGGACCTATCAGTCTCGCGCGCGAACGCTTAACCTTTAGACCACTGAGCCGGCATCCAACGAAGTTAGTGTCTAACCTCAACCGACTCACGAAATTGAGCGACATATCCACCATTGTCTTCAGTGGGTTACTATCTCACAACAGACTTGGTTGAACTCCACTGGTCACTGCTTCCCACTAGAACTCCAGGAAATACCTCTTGAAGCCAGTCACTAGTGAGAATATAATTTGATGTGTGGGCGAGAATGTCAATGATTGGTTGTCTCGATGAGTCAGACATTAGAGAGGATGACAGGTGTTATGTGTTATATATATATTTCCCTATCCTTATTATGTATGAACTTTTTGACTGTTCCATGTGTCGGATTTTGGTGTGGAAATATATTGACGTTATAGTCAGGCTAATATTGTGTTCTTGATCTGAGTTCTGTTGAAGTCCTGTAGAATAGACACTGGGTGGGAATCTAGTGTAGATATTCGTCTAAGATAAATTAACGTCCCACATACGTGTAAGAAGTAAAAGGACTGTTATAACCAGAAACCCCTAAAGTTATAACCAGCATCCTCTCTCTCTCTCTCTACGTTTATAACAATTGGCGACGGCATACATACGTTTATAACATTGGCGACGGTGATTAAAACGGATCTACGCTTACATATTCAATTAAAGTGAATTTTGTAACAAAAATGGATGATCTGAAAACCTTATTGCAACAGCAAAATACTGTTATCGAATTATTAATCAAGAATATGTCAATTTCCTCAAGAACGAATGTGTCTAATTCCACTATGACTCCGGATTCTATTGCAAATTCAATAACTGAATTTAGATTTGATCCTGAAAGTGGAGTTACTTTTGAGGCATGGTTTAAACGCCATGAGGATTTATTTATTAATGAATGTAAAGAGTGGGACGAAAGTTCGGAATTGAGATTATTATTACGAAAGCTCGGAGTGTCCGAACATGAAAAATTCTGTAATTTTATCCTCCCAAAGAAGTCATCCGACATAACGTTCAAAGAAACAGTTGAATGCCTGACTCGTATATTTGGTGAACGGTCATCAATTTTTCACACTAGATACCAGTGTCTTCAACTCGTAAAGAAAGTACAGGACGATTACGTAACGTATGCAAGTATCGTGAACCGGGAATGTGAGCGGTTCCGATTACCAGAGATGTCCTCAGATCAATTCAAGTGCCTTATTTTTGTATGTGGATTACAATCTTCAGTAGATGCAGATATTAGAGCACGGATTCTAATGAGAATCGAACAAGATCCTAATATCAGTCTACAATCAGTATCTGAAGAGTGTCAAAGAATGGTTAATTTGAAGCATGACACGAATCTCGTAGAAAGGAACAGTGAACACGTGGGAATTAATGCTTTATGTAAATCTTTAAATGAAAATAAAGATTCGAACTCCCAGAAAATCCCGAATCAAGTGAAACACAAAACGTCATGTTGGCGATGTGGTAAGTCTCATTCTGCCAAAGTTTGTTACTTTAAAAAACGAGTATGCTTTCAATGTGGTAAATATGGTCATGCTCAAGTATGTTGTAAAAGTAAACCAAAAGTTTCTGACCGTCAGCATAAGTCCCGTAAAGGAAATAAGATACATACTTCAAAAGCAATGCCGCATAACTCAAATGTTGTTCTGGCTACAAAAAGGGAGCATTTCTCCTCTAAAAGGAAGTATGTAACCATTTTTTTCGATGGCAAACCGGTCAAACTACAAGTCGATACTGGGTCTGATATAACATTAATTTCTAGAGAAACTTGGATTAAAATTGGCCGGCCCCGATATCAACCTACATGTTATAATGCCAAGAGTGCGTCAGGAACTAACATTACTCTTCTTGGAGGATTACAGCTACCTCTCACGTTTGGTGAAAAGACTATGACCGGGAAATGTTACGTATCCGGGAACTGTAATACCAATCTATTAGGTATTGATTGGATTGATAAATTTGGTTTGTGGGATTTACCGTTGAATGTGCCGAAAGCAGAATCCCAGTCATGGCCAGAAACGACAAAGCCTTGGGTCCGACTACATGTTGATTATGCTGGACCAATAAGTGGACAATATTTTTTGGTGGTGGTTGATTCGTACTCGAAGTGGCCTGAAATTTATGTGGTACGAAGACCATCTACGTCTGAAACACTGCTACATCTGAGACAACTATTTGGTAGGTTTGGTACACCTAATGTTTTGGTTTCAGATAACGGAACGCAGTTCACGTCGTTAGAGTTTACGGAGTTCTGTAAACAGAATGGAATCGAGCACGTTAGAACTCCACCGTATCACCCTAAGTCGAACGGGCAGGCAGAGAAATTTGTTGATATTCTTAAACGAGCTCTCTTAAAGATGGGAGGAGAAGGCAACGTAGAAGAGGCTCTGCAACAATTTCTCATTTCCTATAGAATTACGCCAAGTCCAAACTGTCAAGATGGGATATCTCCAGCCGAAATAATGTTTGGCCGACCGATTAGAACATTTTTTGATGTTTTGAACCCGAAAGACAGAATGAGTGGACTACAAAAAAATAAGAAAGGGAATTGCCTGAAAATTCGAGAATTCAAAGTAGGTGACTCAGTCTATGCACGGGATTTCCGGCCTGGCAAGCCAAAATGGATATTTGGGTTTATAAAAAAACGACGTGGTACAGTATTATATGAAGTGATGGTCGAAAATACACTAATTATTAGACATGTAAATCAACTGCGAGATAGAAAATGTGTTTATGAGTCATCTAAACTCAAACCATTACCAATGGAAGTATTATGTGATACATTTGATATTCCACCACCACCACCACAAGTTGAAACGAGAAAAAATGATCTAGAATCAGAAGTTAGAAGAAGGTCATTCAGGAAACGGAAACAAACGAAGTTTTTTCAAATAGACCCTAAAATGAAATCATACGATCAAACTTCGAGAGGGAGGTGATGTGTGGGCGAGAATGTCAATGATTGGTTGTCTCGATGAGTCAGACATTAGAGGGGATGACAGGTGTTATGTGTTATATATATATTTTCCTATCCTTATTATGTATGAACTTTTTGACTGTTCCATGTGTCGGATTTTGGTGTGGAAATATATTGACGTTATAGTCAGGCTAATATTGTGTTCTTGATCTGAGTTCTGTTGAAGTCCTGTAGAATAGACACTGGGTGGGAATCTAGTGTAGATATTCGTCTAAGATAAATAACGTCCCACATACGTGTAAGAAGTAAAAGGACTGTTATAACCAGAAACCCCTAAAGTTATAACCAGCATCCTCTCTCTCTCTCTCTCTACGTTTATAACAATTGGCGACGGCATACATACGTTTATAACATAATTATTATCAGTCTGATAGGTCAGATAGCTCCTGGGTTCGAATCTCTCGAGGTGGGATCGTGGATGCACACTGCTGAGGAGTCCCACAATAGGACGAAACGGCAATCCAGTGCTTCCAAGTTTTCCATAATGGTCTAACTTTAATTGACTCATGAATTCAACGATAAAATAAAATTGTTTATGTTGAGATGACTAATATGCAGTGTTAACTTGAATAAGTCCATAAGTTCAGTGAAATTATGAGACTCATGGTCAGAATTAATATGGGTCAGAGAGGGTAATAGAAATAATAGTGGAATTACAAATTCAACTGTGTTTAGTGGAAGACCATATCGCGTATAAATTTATGTGAATTCAATCAAGTGGGTTAAGAGCTACGTAAATCAATCATGTATTCGGAAGACTAATAGTCCTGTTAAACCAACATTAGTAATAAAAATACAAACATATGCGAACAAAAACGTTCGACTAAGAAGGGTTGTATGTGCATTATTCAAATTATACCGTTTTATTTTAAGCAGAGATGGATAAGTACTAGCAGTGGGATCCAAGGTGCGCGCCATGCCGCTACCCAAAGTGAGGGATGGGCACAGTCACAATATTATTATCCAAAGCTGTAATGTTGGCGACAAAGTGTTCATTAAATCATACCACGGAAAGAACCGATGGGAACCAAGAAAAGTCGTAAAAAAATTGGGAAAAGTTTTGTACAGAGTCTGAAGAACCTTCAAAACATGTATTCGTCATACAAATGAAATACATAAAGATAAAAAACGATGCGCACACAAAACAATCAGTTGAATCTTCTGTTAGATTTAATCTCAAACACATCAACGTTGTATACGCCCAAGAACACTAAAAAGAAGTCCTGGACAAGGAAGACTGAATAAATAACGAAACGCCACAGCAAAACAGTTGTCAAGCTACAAGTGGATCCTAGGAAAAAATCTTATTCCCGGAAGCTGTTGAGTCGCCTCTGATAACTACAGTGGAGCCTCTA